AGAAAAGTGCAAGATTTCTGTTCCTTTAACACTCATTTTAGTGATATTTGAAGCAAAACGAGACTGTTTGAATTATGACCAAAGATTCTCAAACGAATTTCCTGGTGTTTATCGAGAGAAAATCATGAGAGAAACAATTTTTGAATAGAATGAGAAAGAAAAATATTAAACAGGAAAAAGAGTTTCATAGCTGGGTGGTGGCATTATTTCGTCTTCATTTGTTGGAGTTGCATTGATGATGATCAAAGGAACTTGTAGGCGAATATTATTGAAGGAACTATGCATGTTAGCTTCCAGATGGAGCTTGTAACGCACGATTAATGGACTTCGAAAAGGCCATTCAGTTGGTTTCCACGAGAATGATGCCACAAGTTTTTTAGGCAGAAGAAGTTGAAAGTTACCATACAAATGTTCGTCCTGAGAATCATATACATCTAGAAGATTCTTTGTCAGTAGAATGACATTTTTCTCCTCGGTAGGACCTAGTATTCGTTCTTGAACCAGCGCTGCCGATATTCGATGAATTGTTATTCGATTTGGATTGTATAAATCGAGTTGTAACGAGAAATATTCACCAGCAACAGCAATATTCTTATGAAGAAATGCTTGTAAACGAACACCCTTTCGATTTTCATCTTGAAATTCAAGATGGGTCGCGCGCACCGATGTCATGGAACTTTGAATTACAATAGGATATCGTTGTTCAATGTTTATCTTATACCAATCTGATTGTTTTAATCGGGCGCAAAGAAAGTAATGAACATAGGGACCTTGACGATTATTTTGTTTCAGAGTAGGCGGAAGTAAATATTTAAGATGAAAAGAAAATGGCCATATATGAGTGCCTGGTGTTAGGATCAATTCGTTCTGATTATCAGTCGACCATAGAATTTTCTTTTTAAAGAAGAAAGGTATGCGATGAGTACTTGACGGTTTCTGCCGATTTAAACTCTCGTGACTGGAATAAACGAATTCACCGACTAATTCGACACTAACATATTTTAATCTCACTTCCGAAGCACCATTATAGTAGCATTCGATCGTGCCAGAAACAATCTCGCCCGTTCGATAAAATTTTTTGATTTGTTCAGAAAATCGAAGTGAAAGAGTTGTCTTGGTTAATGCACTGTTTTCCGAGCCCATCAATATCTACAAGAAAATAGTCTGCAGCGACAAGCACGTCGGTTTATTTTTTATTCTCATTGATAATGAACGAGTACTCACAGCGGCTGAGTATGCGCACAGTGAATACGTATGTAATACAAATGAAGAGTGATCGTCTCAGTGTCAATAGATTGATCAGAACTGGGAGAGAGAAGAAATGAGCAGACAAAGTATGATGTAATGTGGTAAAACAAGAGAAAAGAAAACACGAGAAACTAGAAGTATATGCAGTGAAAAGTCTTGTTACAAAGTCAAAAACGAAATAGAGAAATTGAAGAACAACCCCTTTTATCTACCGTAATTCTTATAATACTGAAGATAGTTGACTAACTTACAATGAACATGCATAGTTTAAAATAAACGATGATAGCAACTATGACTTGATAGTCATGCAATGCATTAAAATAAGAGACTATGTAGTAATAAATTGTTTTACAAGATGAACAGTAATATCAAGCAGTGTACCATAAAAAGAAAACGATTGTATTATATTACAATTGTATCCATGTAGAAATATTTTCAAAGAAATCAAATTAAAATATTTTTTTTCTTTAATTAGAAATTGATTAAAATTGTTTGTTTAGTGACAAAAAGAGATTTCTCAGATCTTTTTCAATTCAACTTTAACCGAATAAAAGTTATTATTTGTTTAATTAGATTAATCACTTGTACTTTGTTAACATGAATTTTAAATAAATCAAAGAAATCTATCTTCCTAATGGCAGAAAAAATGTTTTTAATCATATGATAGCAAGTTTACTTTTGATTCTTTGTCAAGTTGCTTTGTTACATCGTTTTTGTTTTTGTTTTAACAAATCAAATGGATAAATAATAAGCTTGTTACAATTTGTCTACGAAAAAAACTGATCCAACTAACTCATTATAGATTTCATCTATGATATTCTAGAATTTCATCAAACTAAAAGTTAATTTCAATCTGCTTATCCATAGTTACTCGTGTTTCAAATAAATTTATTCTTATTCAATATCGGAAATTCAGGATAAACTCCTGTCTGGAAACAATAAAATCAAAATTTATCGACACGAACAATTTTTAGATTTTTTTAGACCTAAGCGTGCTGTAACTACGGCAAGATAGTATGCTAAAGGACGATTTATTTGGGTTAAACTCAATGAACTATGAATACAATATATAACATTCAAATCTTCATCGCAAGCTACATCTGAACCTATGAGTGACTTTTCATAATACGTTAGTGAGATTATTAGAAACTTTTACTATTGAAAAAATCAAATTATTAGCAAATATGTTGATAATTACTATGACTGATAATAAGTGTAGATTTTCTTCTTTGTATTGTATATATGAAATATAGATAAAACAAGTACTAAATCAAATAAGATTACAGAATATAGTAATATGATCAATTATTTGTTTATCTTTTTTATTATGTGAAAAAGTTTCATCTTAAATATGTTTTGAAGCAAAATCAATTGACTTTTTGAAAAATTTCTCTCGTAAGAATAATCTTCGTGATTAAAATTACTTAGTCTTATTTCTTTCTACTTTATTTTAGTTTAATATGAGCAACATTATAAGCAAAAAAAAAAGATAGACATACATGAAAGATAGACATCTAAAGTGTGATAAATAATAAAATATTTCATAGTAGATAAACGAAGAAAATTGTTGGAATTTCAATTTAATATTTTCCTATTGTGTAATTACTTATGTAATTTCTAAAATAAAATAAAGAAAAGATATTCACACTCTAATACCTTTTCTGAATGTTCGAAAACGAAAAGAACAATATTGCGACGTCAAAAAACGGGGGTGAAGTCAGGATTTAACGAGAGGACTACTTAAAAGTACGTTGTTTTTATGATGAGTATCGACTCTCTATTACCTTTATTTTTATATAAGTTTACTATTGAATGATTGCCTTGTTGATTGTCATACAAATCAATACCTCGTTATATCTCATTAATTTTCTCACCATGTGTACAAATAAAAAAAAAAACAAAATGCTAATGACAGTAGTTAACAAATAAGTAAGCTACATAAAAGCATGTAGAGTGATACGATAACTTGATATGGTGCATGTTATGAATCCGATTTAGTGCATTCAACCGTATCACTAATTTATCTGCATAAAGTAAGAAGAATAATTATCCAATAAAACACAATATTAACGAAATCTGATTGATGGTGTAAACATATCTAATACGCATTTTATTTTATTTTATACGTTGTTCTTACGCTATCGTTACAATTCGATCGGTAAGCATCTCTTCATGTGCATCAAATACACAGAGGAAAGAAATGAAAATTAGATGTATTGATTAAAAAATTTAAAAAAACGATGGTACACAATTAAATGTTTTGATTTTCTGTCAATTTTCAAAAAAAAAAATCAATGCCATCAAAGATTTCATCAAAAAATGAAAATAATTGAAAACATTATTTTTCTTTTTGACATTCTTACGATAGATCTCATCCTCAAAATGTATAAATCATTTTCTTTTAACAAGCAGATTTGACCTCGAGACTTAAAATCAAAGTATAAAACTTAGAAAATAGATGACACTTTTTTTCTTATTAAATTAATTTTTTTGATAAAAAAAATAGGAATATCAACTCCTTCACCTTTGGTCTCATTATCTTCATCGTTGTTTTATAGTAAGGTCGTAGAGTTTCACAAACGCGACATACTTTTCAAAATATACGACTACAAAATGTATTAAGTAGTTGATTATTCTGTAATAAATTTTTGTTTATACATAATTAGTAATTTAAAAGATTTGATATTTATTCACAAAAAAAAAAACCTACAGATTTTTAATGATTTATATCGTTGATTCACGTGTATGATGATTCATATTTATTTCCTTTTTTTTTTCTATATGTGTTCTTTTAACTTATTGTATTGTATTTTTGATTTTTTTTTTCTATAGAAGGTTTTAATATTGGATATTTCATTAATAGATAAAATAACAGCGAGCATGTTGCCCATTAATATTTATATATTTTTCTATTCTTTTAATATTCTCATTCTATATTATTCAATTTTAAATAAGGCATTACTTTAGAAAATATATCGGAACTTATTGTTCATTTATGTACATTCAATCTTTTCTTTCTTTGCTCAATAAAAAGAATATAATAAATAAATCGGCAAGTAATATGTAAATAGCTATTCGTTTGGAAGAACTGAAAAAAAAAATAGATAATTGTTTATTTGTATAACGATAAATTTTGACTAAATAGTACTAAAAATTTTTCGAAAGTTTTAAAGATTAGATAGATATTCACTGAGAGATAAGGACAATCAATAAGTAGCTGAAATTTTATTAAAATGAAGAATATCATTGCAAAACTCTCCTATGCATCTTTGTTCTCTATCTTTGTCAGTTTTCCCTTCACGAAAATTGTTTCTCTTTTGAAAATGAGCCATTTTTTATTATAATTCAATAATGAACAACCAATTTGTTACACTAGATTTGTTTATTAAAAGAAAATGTTTACAACAATAAACTATCATATTCAATTCAATTTTGATATCCAGCCAAGGAAAAGTGGCGAAGAACAACAGTCTGTCTATGGTGAAGTTCTTAGTTATTGTAGAGTTTTCATAGAAAAAATAAATAGACAGTTATAAGAGACATAATTCACTCAACATCTATAAATAATTTCTTATAATTCAAGTATTTGTCGCTAGTTGAGACAATTTATATCAAGAATGAAAATAAAAATGGTTTGAACTTCCTCTTATTCAATAATAGCTAACAGTGACTAACTAAACAATTCTGTTATTCTATTTCAGATAGAAAAGTGATATTGGAAGGTTGTTATTTTACATGAAATTAACTCAAACATGGATAATCACGGTGTTCAAAGCAACGAACAACAGCCTCATCAACAAATCACCACTGATATCCATAAAGAATTAGGAGAAAGAAGACAAAGTTCGATTATCGATCTTTGGGCTACTGTAGACAAATCTCGCCTCGAACAAGATGTTCACATCATTCCTCTTGAAGATCTTTATACGCGTTTTCATACAAATCCACGTAATGGTTTATCAGCTGCTACTATAGTCGATGCACAAGCTCAATATGGTCTAAATAAAATGACTCCACAGAAACCACCAAGCTATTTTTGGTTGCTTTTCAAACAATTATTCATGGGTTTCAATGCTATTCTCTGGGTTGCTGGTATTTTTGCTTTTTTAGCTTATAAACCATTTGGTGAACCAAATCCATCAGTAACGAACTTAGCACTCGGAGTTGTACTTGTATTAGTTATTACTTGTAATTCTATTTTGAATGTTTATCAAGAAATCAAATCAATAAAAATTGTAGCATCCTTTTCAAAATTATTACCAACAATTGCTACAGTTCGACGTGATGGTAGAGAACAACAAATAGTTACCGATCAGATCGTACCTGGTGATATTATTCTTGTTCGTATGGGTGATAAATTACCTGCTGATTGTCGATTTTTCAGCTGTGAAGGACTTAAAGTAAATATTTATCTAATGAATTGAATATTTTCCTAAATAATTTTGTTTTTTTTTCTAAACTACATAGGTTAACACATCAGAATTGACCGGTGAATCGAAACCTGTCACATCAACAGTTCGATGTACGAGTACAAATTTTATGGAATCAACTAATATTGGATTTTATTCGACAATGGTTGAACAAGGCACTGGTGAAGCAGTAGTTATTGCTACCGGTGACAATACTATTTTGGGCAAAATGTCACGATTGACACGAGGTGATTCGGGTGATGAAATCACTGGTCTACATCGCGAAGTCAATCGTTTTGTTTTATTCGTTGTTATAGCTACTACTATTGCTATTATTATCCTGTGGATTACTTGGGGTGCATGGCTCAATAGAGATCATCATACTTTTGTTACCTACAATGCAAATATTGTTAACTCTATTGGTATGATTGTTGGTTTTTTGCCGCTGGGCTTACCATCAGCTGTAACTCTTGGTAAGTGAAAAATAAAAATTGTACAAATATTCAAGTGTAATATTTTTCCTTTAATGATCTTCTTTCACACATTATTTATCGATAAAAGTATGATTCTACTCCTTGATTTCAAATATTTTCATTGTATTAGGTAAAAGGTGACTATAATAGTGATCTTGTATCAAAAATTTCCATTATCTTATCTAACATTTTATACGATATTATAACATTCGAACAATTAGTTATAGTGTTGTCTTTGATTTTTTTATCTAGTATTGACAATTGTGGCGAAAAGAATGTATCGACAACGTGTATTAGTGAAAAGTTTACAAATCGTTGAAACTTTCAATTCAGTCTCAGTGATTGCTACTGATAAGACAGGTACATTGACACAAAATAAAATGACAGTCACTCATCTCTTATGGGACACGAATGGTATCTACAAAGTACCTCAACCACAACCACCACCAGCTCCAGAAGAGACAATTTTTCAAACGATTCGTCGTTTATCATCTGGCGCCCTTAATACAGTTCGACGTCTATCGGTAGGAGTTATTTCAATTGCTCGAAGATTATCTACTGGTAATATCAATCAACCACAACTTATGCCATCATTAGATGATGACAATGAAATGCACAATATTTCGAGTATAGCAAGTGAAGTTCAAGTTGAAGCATTCAAGGATCTTTTGGTTGGCGCTGCTCTCTGTAATAATGCTGAAAAACAAATGGTACAAGACGCACAATTAGGACAAGACATATCAAAAATGAAAACCGAATTGCGTCTTGTAGGCGATGCCGCTGATACAGCTCTCTACAATCTATGTGTTGATCGATGTCATGTTGATATTGATGCAATACGTAAAAATAACTCTCGTTTGAAAGTATTACCATTTAATTCATCGAATAAATTTATGATTGTGGCTAATGAACTTCAATCAGTTGATTCATCTGTACCGGAAAGCGAACGTACCGTTTTGATTACAATGAAAGGTGCACCAGATATTGTTATTCAACGTTGTTCGTCATATAAAACCCACAAAGATGAGATTTCGCGATTAGACGCCGAAATGAAGCGAACACTGTTTAATCGCCAAGAAGAATTAGGTGAGATCGGCAATATTGTATAGAGATCAAATTGTTTTTTGAGTTTAAATATTTTTAGGCAAAAATGGTTATCGAGTTATCGCCATGTGTCAACAAAAAATTACTCGAGAACAGTATAATCGAATGATTGAACGGTATACAGAAGAGCAACGTTCGTCATCACCGACTGGTGAAGATTTGAATGGATTTTCATCGAGTGACTATTGTTTTATTGGTCTTTTTTCATTACTTGATCCTCCTCGAACGGAAGTGCCTGATTCCGTTCTCAAAGCTCGTCGTGCTCAAATTCGTGTAGCCATGGTTACTGGTGATCATCCGACGACGGCTAAAGCAATTGCAAAACAAGTACATATTTTTACACCAGAAATTGCAGAAATCAATGGTGTAGATACGTTTAAAATGGATCGTGATGCTAATGGACAACCTATTCTCAATTTATACCGAAACGATATATTATTGAAACAACATACACCTGGTCAGGTGACTCGAATGGATCCAGAAAATAAAAATGCCAAAAGCATGGTGAAGCAAGCTGAAATTGATGCTGGTGAAGCTGAACCTGATCCATTACCACCTTGGTATAAGCGAGCTTGGGCAGGATGTCGAAATCAATTTAGTGAACCTAAATCGAATCTTCCAACAGCCACTAAAATGGAATATATTCCCCATGCTATTGTGGTAAGTATTCATTTTCTTGTTGATCTTTGTTAGACATTTTCAAAGAGTAGGTTGCTGGTGCAGAAATTGGTCTTATGGATGATTTTATGTGGGATTGGGTATTGTCACATCAAGAGTTAGTTTTTGCACGAACATCACCTGAACAAAAATTGCGTATAGTTGTGGAATTTCAACGACGTGGCGAAATTGTTGCAGTAACAGGTGATGGAACTAATGATGCACCAGCACTTAAATGTGCTCATCTTGGTGTAGCTATGCAATC